CCCAAGTGATCCTGGAGGTTTTAAACAGAATTAAGAGTAAAATTTGAGATGAGACATTTAAGGTGTAGAGGAAACCTTAGGTCCTATCAACATATAGTCTGGTGGTAGTTTTTCTGTTTCTTTAGTTGGGTTTTTTTGTGTGTTTGTTTTGGTGTGTGTGTGTGTGTGTGTGTGTGTGTGTATTGCAGAAAAATCAGTGAGATTTGACTATCAGAAGATAGAAAGGAAATAGTGGTACAAACAGTACTGATATTTATGTGATGTTTTCCTTGACCACCCCTTCCAAGCAGTGCATGTAAATAAACACTGACATAAAACCTATGTCGTTTCTATGAGTAATGTAGAGATCGTAGAGAATATAATGTATGCATACAGGTTGCTTGTTTATGCCACTATGCCACCATATACAGGGCTTCAGCATCTTCGTACAGTCTTTGAATGTCTCCCCGTGAGTTTTGACAGTAGACTAAATAGCAAAACTAAATGAGACTAATGATGTAGAACATAATGTAATGCAACATTATCTGTAAAGTGAACAGGTAGAGACAGGACAGTTTCAGCAGAAGAAACAACCTATGAGCTATATCCACTGTCCCCCAGCACTCCAGAAACGGATGGAGAAGGACCTCAGATCTGAGGCCAGCCTGTGCCCTGTGGAACGTGGAGAGATTCAGAAATGAGATTGTATTATGTGTATTGCATACTCTGTCTCAGTTCTTAGACCTTTTTATCATTCTTGGAGCTGCAGCTTTGTCAACTAATGTGTTCTGTAAAATACTTTTATTTATTCAATAGAATTCCATGCCCCAGCTGGGAAGCCAGGTTCATCCCGTAGCAGCGCAAAAATTGATAATAGTGGTCGCTTCTAGTCATTTCTCAGCACACCAGTAGGAATATGATTTGTAAAGATATTGAATCTACTCTCTGCTCAGAATATTTTGCTGAACTACCGTACTAGTCACAACTCCTTAAAAACACAGTTCTCAGGCCGGGCAGTGGTGGCGCATGCCTTTAATCCCAGCACTCGGGAGGCAGAGGCAGGCAGATCTCTGTGAATTCGAGGCCAACTTGGTCTACAAGAGCTAGTTCCAGGACAGTCACCAAAAGCTACAAAGAAACCCTGTCTCGAAAATCAAAAAAAGAAAAAAAAAAAAAAGATTTTCCAAACCTCAGGTTGTCAAAATAAATAAACAACAACAACAACAAAAAAAAACCCCACAGTTCTCACTTCAAATAGAGTAAGAGATAGTTTAAGTTTACTTGGGAGCCCAATAGGAGTGACCATAGTCCAGGAACAGAGGCTTAAATTACCCCAAACTCTATGTTCCCATGTAGAAGAAGTTTCATGAAAGTATTATAGTTACAAAGAAAGGTCATTTATTAGGGCACTTTTTTGAATATATTGGTGGAATCATTACATAAGCGGTCATAGCCAAGGAACGAAATCTCAGCCAGTGGCCTCATATGCTGTCTGATGACTCACCCTTTTCGTTGGTACAAGCTAGACTTTATTAATACACTTCCAGAAGCTTTCATCTGTTAGTTATAGGATGAGGAGTGCACAGCACAGAAATCGGCAATAACTATTCAGAGAGCTAAAGACTGCTCCAAATAAATTGTAATTGGGTTTTGAATACAAAACATTCCATCCGCTCAACATCATTGAAAGTCGAATCACTGTCAGCCTTTGTGGATACTTCTTTCCAGGAATTGTCGTTCACACAGTCCTTAATTCAATACCTAACTCTTTAAGAGTGACCATATGGGGGTTTTATTTAATGTGATATGTATAATAATATTCTTAGTATGTGTGTATAAGTATGTATGTCGGTATGTCCCCCTTCGCTAGGATATAATGCCAAGACAGTGTGGACTTCGTTGTGTCCTCATGACTATAGCATCTAGAACAACCCTGCTATCTCACAATTTGTCTACAGATTGTTATTTATGCTTTCTTTTGTCTTTTATTTTAAAGTTATTTTTCTTTTATTGTATGGATATTTTGTCTGCATTATGTCTGTGCACCACTTTTATGCTGGGTGCCCAGAGTACAGAAGAGGGAATTGGATTTCCTGGGATTGCAGTTATAGGATATTGTTGCAGCATGATTAATAAAAACCCAAAGACAGATATTGGGATTCAACCTGAAGATCAGAAAAGAAAAACAGCCAGCCATGGGTTGTACCTCAGTCCGAAATGGCGATCCTGCCCCCAGGAATCCTCAGAATGAGACTGTGTGAGAGCTGTCTCCTCCCATCTATGATCCCCTCTAGTGCTGGGATTAAAGGCCTGCATCACTACTGCCCGGTTTCTATGGCAAACGAGTGTGGCCATACTACTGGGATTAAAGGTGTGCCACCTCTGCCTGGTCTGTAAGGCGGCTGTTTTACTCTCTGATCTTCAGGCAACCTTTATTTATTAAACTACAAATGAAATATATCACTGGATTTCCCCTTTTTGTCTAAAATAAAAGGGGCTATAGCTAATATAAGAAAAATATATACAATAAGTACAATGACTATTTATAATATATACAGGCAACAAATACATCAACAATGTCTAGTCCATTTGTATTTGACAAATTCAGAGAAAATACTCCATAGCTAGCCTATACTAGTGACTCCAAAGTCTTGTACCTAATCTACGTTTTATCATAACTTGCTTTTTGTGTCAGATAAATAAGGAAAACTATAGCTATCCAGTCTTCAACTCCTTCAGAGATCCAAGGAGGAAATCATAACTGATAAGAAGGAAGTATGAGCAAGCGACTTCCAAAAAAATGTGAGAAATGACAAAAACAGCTGGCTTCCTGGACAGTCACCCAAAGTTCCTCTATAACGTTGGGGCATCCATCTTCGGCCTACAGGCCCAGCATATCTAACAGACTTTTCTGTGAAGCAGGATGTTCTGAAGGGCTGTCCCTTCTTGTCTTGACATTTGGCAGTCACTCTCTTTTGTGTTCTGCTTGCTTGTCCAATTAGGACAGCATACTGTCAGCAGTCGAGGAGGGGCATTTTCTTGCCCAGTGGCTTACTTTTGCCACAAAGAAAGTAAGCTCCATGTGGAGTTGCTTCGATGCCCATTATTTTCTCTGAAGTAGATTGGTGCTGCCAGCAGCAAGCATGTCTCATTGTGATGAAAAAAAAAAGAGCCTATGTTATTCGAACATTTTAAATGCCATATTCTGTAGACCTCTGAAGTGTTTGAAGATGGCCTACCTAAAACATAACTTTGTTTGACCTTGAAAACATTCCTAATATGCCTACAAGTTCAATTGTAATAGGTGACTAATTACTAACCTGAATTTCCTTATTATCCTAAACAGTTGGCAATAATAACTTTCAAAGACTAGACATTTGCATTATATTGTTAAAAGAGCTGCATAGGTACAATACATTGAACAAGATTAGAAATGTATACACAGTATGTTTTAACAAATTAATCTATTTGTATCAATACACAAAATTTGTATGCAATATACAAGAGTCCAATCTAATATAAAACATTTAAAACTAGTAGTTGCTTTTTAAAAGTAGATTCAATAATCTACCTTTTTATCTTATCATTTCTATGCCCTCCCCTTTTTCTTTTCAGAGTAGATTCAATAATCTACCCTTCTATCCTATCCTATCTATGCTCCCCCCTTTTTTTCCTTTCTTTTCAAAAAAAGAACTTAGAATCTAATCTCCTTTGTTTAACTTTTTTCCTGGCCATTACCAACAACTTGTAGCCACCCTCCCCTCCAAATAATGACAAATATCCATAATCCACTGAATGACCCAACACCAACCACCGCACCCTCTGGGGAACATGGACGTCGTATTCTTAAATTTACTTCCTGCTGTCTGTGGGCGATGGTATCTTTAGGGGATCCTGAAAAGAAACATGTGGGGGTTAACTGTCAAGTCCCGGGAGATGTATTTTTGTTGTTGTGTCTATGCGTAATAGGGAAGTGCAAAGCTTGTTTCAAATCCCGGGTAGAGCAGTCTGTGAGGTTGGATCATCTCAGCTAGCCACCTCGAAATTATTCTAAGCAGTTTGTAGCCCAAAGCTATCAGTTGAATGGTATCATATGAACCAGGTGGAAGCGTTGTGGGGCCCCATCTTCTTCCTGGAGGACTTCAGAAATCAGTGTAGGAAAATTTATCATTCATTGTGGAAAGCTTAAACATTATTCATATCAAAATGGAAAGTTTGCATTTCAATAGACATATATTCAAAGAATGGTACCATAGAGAAAAAAATAGGTATGGCGAGAAGTAGAATTTTTGAAAGTAGAATTTTGATAACCTTAGTCCCAGTCAGCTTTGATTTTTAGGTGAATTGGAACAACTATCATGCTGAGAAGAAAGGAGATAAGTATGCTTAGGTAGTGAGATTTTACCCTGGTGAGAATATTGGTATCATAAGTCAGATTCTTCTTTGCTTGGTGGTTCTTTCTGGATAGCTATCTTTTCTTCTTTAGGTGTTTAGATGTCCAAGATCTCTTGACTTCTTGAAGATGGATGAGTCTTTTCTATTTTCCTGAAAAGACAAGAACAGAACCCTGCCCCAACCCTTGTGAGATTTCCTTACAACTTGTAGGACTGTCACCTTGTGAATGGGCTCTATCATTTCTCTTTATCAAGAGGTTTCTCCTTTTCAAACAGAATCTTGATTAATTTTGATGATATACATAAATAAAGGTTGCCTGAAGACCAGAGAGTAAAACAGCCGCCCTAGTGAGCTGTACAGACCAGGCCAAGGTGGCACACACCTTTAATCCCAGTAGTATGGCCACACTCGTTTGCCATAGAAACCGGGCAGTAGTGATGCAGGCCTTTAATCCCAGCACTAGAAGGGATCATAGATGGGAGGAGACAACTCTCACACAGTCTCATTCTGAGGATTCCTGGGGGCAGGATCGCCATTTCGGACTGAGGTACAACCCATGGCTGGCTGTTTTTCTTTTCTGATCTTCAGGTTGAATCCCAATATCTGTCTCTGGGTTTTTATTAATCGTGCTACATACAGAGTGTTAGACACCATGTGGGTGTTGGGAATTGAATGCAGGTTCCCTGGAAGAGCGGCAAATGATCCATCTTAACCACTGATCCATCTCTTTTAACCATTGATCCAGTACTCTTTTTGTCTTTTAAAAATTTCATTTTAAATATTTTTATAATCATGTGTGTGCCTGCACACACACACACATGCATGCGTGTGCAGTAGCTGGTGTGCACATATCAAAGCACACTTGTGGATTTCAAGAGGATAATTTAGAATTGGACCTAGCACATAGGTCCAGGAGTTTGAAACCAGGTCTTTAGGCTTGGCAGCAACTTTACTCAATGAATCATGTCATTGACTTCTTTTGTCTTGCTATAGAGCAGGTTAGCCTGGAACTTGTAGCCCAGCCTCACCTTAAATTTGTGGTCTTTAAAGTGAACATCAGGAACCCTCAGGCAAATCCCCAGGCCTCCCTCCACTAAGCCCCACTATGATACCTGCACAATTGATTCCTCAATAAGCATGAGACTCCTGTCAATCTTGAGAGTTAACGCAGACTTGCAAATCTAGGACAATATGAACTGACTGAGGAAAAGTGAGAGGTTTCTGTCCTCAGTAGAGGTAGATACCACACCAAGGAGAATATATGCCTATTAGGAACGCTTTGGAAAAAGGTCAGGCCTGCCTTAAAGGCCACCTTGGCTACTGATCTCTCATATAGAGAGCTGCATCTACAGACTACACTTACTGATTGCTCATGAGAACTCGGTCACTGGCCTCAAGGAGCAGCTGGCACATATAATTATAAAATAGCTCCTTGGGAAATTCAGATAGAAGGAATAAAGTGATCAACCACTCTCAAGATACACTGTTCCTGTCTGGACTATGCCTGAAAGCTCCCAGGGTACCTATGGATTCTCATTAGTTTTAAATGAGGCTATGCTGAATATTCCACGGTTGGGTAACAAGAATGGCAAACCAGGGAAAGTCGGACATAGCTAACAGTGACAGGCTAAAGTTCAAATCTGTCCCTTTTAAAAGGGATGCCTAAAATAAAAACCAACAAGAAGAGACAAAAACTGCTGCCAAGCTGGGTGTGGTGGTAACCAACAACAATCCAACCACTTGGGAGGCTAGGCCAACCCAGGAAGACAAAGTACTGTTCAGTTGGGTTGTGAACCTGAAATTGTAGCAGATATTTCCCAAACTGCCTCTACACCAATGTACAAAATAGGCGAAATACAGGAAACCATTTAAAGAACACATCTGTCTTTACCAAAACTAAGACCCGAAATGGAAGCTATTGTACTTCACACACGATTTGCCCCCGTTTTCAGATGACTAAAAATGTAAATGTGTTTTCATCCCTCACTCTGGCTTTTCTCAAGTTGTTTGGCTGCCCAGGCTTGATGGGGCCGTACTTATTTAAAAGAAAAATGTGGTAAAACTTATAGTTTGAAGGTCTCACTGTTCAATTCACTGAACGTATACAAGGAGAAACAAACCAACACGTACTTACAGGAGAAACAATTCCTCAGCCGGTTCTCTACGATCCGGTACGATGTACAAGGCATGGCTCAGCATTACAACGCCTTTTCAGAGTAGATGGGCGGCCCTGAGAAGGGCCTTTGGTTATGTAAAAAGGATGCCAAGATTTTTGAGGACCAAGTCGGTGACCCCGAAAAGGGCCTTTTGCGACAGTGGAGAAAAACGCAGCAAGAGCTTAGCCTCCGAAGCCGTAGAGGGTGCGGCCCTGGCGCTTGAGCGCGTAGAC